TTTTTACCTGCTGAGTCATCAAACTGGCCCTTATTTCTATGACATTTGATTTAAGAATACATTTCAAATATTTTAGCAACCCAACAGATAATACTCTGTAATTGGTATGATGTGATTGTTCTAAAGATGAAGAGACATTCTCTACATATTTCATAATGTCCTTTTGCCTTCAAATCATGTGACAGACATAACTAACTGATATATCCCTAGAGAAATACTTAATTCTAAATTTGCTTTTCCACAATCTTGATAAATTAGTATTTGTCAAATACCATTTACTATGTAAGTTATGTTGCATTTAGTTGGGAATTATCTCCTTATTAGCATGCAGTCCCAAGAACCATATTTCTCTGTTATAAATTAGACTGTTCAACTTAAGATAGGCTTTTGTGCTACTTTAGAACATTTTACACCACTTCCTACATAAACAGAATAAATTTTGTTTTAAATACAAAATGACATTTTGAACACAGCCAAGACACTGTGATAATCCATGGTTTATCACTTGCTACCCCAGCACTTTGTCCACTGAACTATGATGTCAAGAAGCTAAGCTTGATTTGTTTTTAAGTATAAAAATCCATTAACTATTACCATATGTCATGACTATTCAGTTGAAAAATAATTTGTAAAACAGTTTTATTGGCCATATCTGGCAAATACGATGCACCTGTTATAAAATGTGATTAGTTCAAAAAGCTAACAAATGTGGAAACAGACTTTCATAATAAATCAATCAAACTGAATTAGATCATTCATATATTTCCACAAAGTTCTTTAATCCCCATTAAGTTAACAGTTTGTGAATAATGAAAGTAATTAATATTAATTTTAGTTGACAAACGCAAGACCAATAACCTGTTAAGATACTTGAATTTATTTTCCAACAGCCTGTAAAAATTAGCCAACAGATGCTTCCAATCTGGTAAATATATGTGTGTGCATATGCATATCACATAAATACATATCTGTGTGACATTGGCATTGTTTTGATTATACCAAGTATCCAATACATGAATACTGTGATTAAATTTCAGAGAAATATACAGTGTTCTTTTAAAACTTTGGTAAGTATTAAAGGAAGCCAAAAATGCATGCATATATTTATAGAAGAAAGGCTTACACAAAATGTATCTATACTTCTTAAGATATGGCACAAGGCAATTTCTCACTACAATACATCCATGACTATCACAGGAAGATAAGATTTAAAACAAACTGAAATACACACACACACACACACACACACACACACACACACACACACACACACACTAATAGGAACCAAGAGTCAAGAGAAAAATGCCTATATCCTTACCAAAATGAACTTGCTATGTCTATGGCTAGACGTGGCAAAATGGTACTGTGTGAAGTAGCAGTTATTTTATGATCTGTAGAAAAGGAGGCAATCTCAACAGACAGGTGGTAAAATAAAACAAGATAGCATAAAGAAAACCAGGCTCCAGGAATGGATGCACAAGAGCTCAATAGAGATTGTTGGTTCCTCAGCAACTCAAAAGGTATTAGATAAACCTCCACTGTTCTTACTATGTATTTCCAATACTTAGGAAGTATGAAAGATTACTATCTGCTAATGTTAAATGCTTGGGATTGACATTTCATCTCTGTAATCTAAGAAATAGTCAAGGTATTTAATGCAAAAATTCAATGCAATAAAAAACACACCATTGCTCTAAAAACCCATGATATTCTTCAGTATTCTGAACACTTTCCTTTTGCCTGATGCTCTGTAATGTAAACTAAAGATTAAAATCTTTCCCAGCTAATCTCTCTGTCCCCATTCCCAGGCCCCGACATGCCAAGGGATCTCAGGATATACAACTTAATTTTCATCTTGGATTAAAAAGTGTTAAGTAGCCATATTTAATTCTGAATTCTTCAGAAATTATAAAATTCAACCACATTCTAGGGCTCTTATGTTATAGAAAAATGGCATTTGGACACGATGCCTCAGCAGACAGGTCACAAATAGAGACAGCATGGAGCAGCCTGTCCAGGCCACAAAACCACACAGTCATGTAAGTTTCTGCACCACCCTTTACTTTACTTTCGTTTCCATTAAACATGTGCATTCTATCAAAATCGATGTCTCTAAAAGCAGCAATGGATGCCCTTTTCCATTAAATACTTTACTAGAAATGCCAGAAAGCATACATATGACTCCTTATACAAGACCTCCAAGGAATTATTCTCTAAGATCAGAACAAAACATTAGTCATTTTCAGAGCTCATCATGGGCTGACATTATGAAATGACGGTATTGCATGAGATCACAACCCTGGCCTTCCCCACCTTTTCTATTTACTATAAAAATGCTGTCTAAAGTCACCAAGAAAAAAATAAATAAAAAAGTAAAAATAAAAGGTAAGCTGCACTTGAGCTGAAAGAACGAATGTGGTAGAATCTGCCAGCTTCTAAGTCAAGTGAGAAGCTCCAGACTAAAAGGCCAAAGGGAAGCAGAGAGGGATGGAAATAAGAATATTTAGAAAGTGATCATCATTTCTCACCTTAATCTTTATAACTAGTATTAGATTCATCATATATATACATATACATATATATGTATATGTATATATATGTATATGCAACTTTGAATCTCAAGGCTAAAGTTGGATGACTTAAGAATTTTTTAAAGGTCCAATTATTTCATTTAGGGATAACACTACAGCTAAATTAAAGACATGCTAACAAGTTTCCCTTTTGAGCCTCATTAATTAAGATAGTAATCAGAGTAAAGAAGGGGGGAAAGGAAGAGTAGCTAGATGGCAGCTTTACTTAAATAGCTTTGAGGTGCTACCATGGCACCTACTAGAAAAGCAAAAGGAAAACTAATCAATTCTAGATTGTGAAATCTAAAATTCTGAAGTGTTTTACATGTAAATACATATTTTAACTACCACACATTTTCCTTGATTGCCTGGAGTGAACTAATCTTATTCAAAGAAAAACTTGATTCTCCATAATCAAAAGGTAAAATTAAGATCTGCTTACTTCACAAGTTTTCCTATGTTGAGCTTACGAGAAATTTCTCTGTGTCTCTAAAGATCACAAAACAGTAATACTTTATTCAAGACAAACCCTGCTAAGGAATATCTGGTAACTCTACAATTATGTGTTACACAAAGTTTACAATTTACAATTATTTTCAGAAAGAGTTTCTAATTTACAAGTATCTTTTAGAAAGCATTTTCAATAAATACAAATGAGTTTTTAAGGATCTGCCAATATTCAACGGTAGGTAGGCTGATCAATTTGAATCTAAAACATTAAGCATCTATAGCAAGGTACCTAGTAAACCGCATGTATTTTAAGTCAATTCCTCTCTCTATACACCAAGTCCTCCCACCTGCATCCACCCACTACAATCTCACCCTATATGGCATATAGAGGGCATAAGTCTATAACATAAAGCATACTTTTTCAAAACTTAAAAGGTAATAATTGATTTAAGTGCCTTATGACACAGAATTAAAAGGTTAAGTGTAGGCCGGGCATGGTGGTGCATGCCTTTAATCCCAGCACTCAGGAGGCAGAGGCAGGCAGATCTCTGTGAGCTCAAGGCCAGGCTGGTCTACAAAGTGAGTTCCAGGACAGCTGGGGCTACAGAGAGACCCTGTCTCAAAAAACAAACAAACAAAACAAAGCAAAATAAAGACCCCCCCCCCCAAAAAAAAAAGTGTGATGGTTTGAATGAGAATGTCCCCCATAGGTTCCAAGTATTTGGGCATTTTGTCCCTAGTTGGTGGTGTTGTTTTGGGTGGTCTTAAAATGTGTGGCCATCCTGGAGGAAGCATGTCACTAGGGGCATGTTTAGAGAGTTCTTAAGCCTTGCTGGAGCTCTAGTCATGCTCTTGCATCCTGTACCTGCTTGAAGATGTGAGAACTTAGCTTCCACTGCTCCTGCTCCAGCAAACTCCGGCCACCATGCTTCCCCACCACGATGGACTATAATTCCCTTGGAACTGTAAGCTCAATTAAACTCTTTCTTCTATAAGTAGTTTTGGTCAGTGTTTCTATCACACCAACAAAAAAGGAACTAATAAAGTAAGTTTTACAAAAGACGTACAAACAAACAATTGAGGCTGGAAAGCTGACTCAGCAGTTAAGAGTACTAGCTGCTCTTGCAGAGGATCTGGGTTCAATTCTCAACACCCACATGATGACTAACAAGCATACAAAAGTCCAGTTCCAGGGGACTCCAATGTCCTCTTCTGACCTCCATGGGCATTACAAAACACAGGTGCACTTATACACATGTTAGATAATACACTCATATACACAAAATACAAATAATATAAAATATTTTTTTAAAAACTAATGACTTGGGGATCAGCCTCAAAAAGACCAAAAAAAAATGTAAGTGGAAAACCACTGATATTGGATTAAATGAATTCAGTTTTCAGACTGGAGTGTAAGCTAATTTTCAATTGCACAGCACAGGTGTAAAGTGTCACAAAACAATTTGGGAAATGAATGTCACTATTTTTAATGAGAAGAATTCACAATACAGTCAGTTCTTTTGTAAGCCAAACTTGAAGACACTATAAATTTGATATTCCTATCTTAGAGACACTCAAACCAATTAAAAATATGAAATTCACTGTAATGCTAAATGGTAGCAAAATGTTGACCAAAAGGCTCCCTTTTTTCTTGTCGTTGTTTATTTCTCTAATTAAAAGAATTCTCATCTCAAATTGTCTCTGAAATATGCTTCTTTAGAAAATAAAAGCCTATTTTACCTCAGTAGGATATCTTCAAAATAAGAATTAAAGCTTATATTCAGCATTTGAAGTTTAAAATTGCTCATTTGATATATTGTGTAACAAAATTACTTTTTAGACATTTCATTAGATCATCTTTGCACAACTAGAAATGGGAAAGTACCTGGTATCAGATATTTTTATTTTAGAGACTGGTAATCATAAGGTAACAATGTTAAAGTTTTCAAAATACATTAATAACCAAGATATTAAACTTACCTCTTTGTTGACAACAAAATGTGTTCTCAAGTTTACAAAGCAAATCTGTGTTTTCATATTTGTTTTCATTTACTTTTATCCAGAAACAGTTTTCAGACATTTCATGAGGTGTGATCTGCAATGAGAGAGAAGGCTCATTCATAGACAGCTGGGTGTTTCACCTGTCCAAGCCCAATCACAATACAGATTCAGCATCCCAGAGCTGCCAGCAGATGTTTATCAAGTCATTTCTGTGAGATCCGTCCACAAAGTCTACTCAGTGAAAGACAAATTCTACAGAATACTGAGGGCTTATGAAAAAGAAAAAGTTTCCATGATCAAATAGCTGAGGATTTGAAGTTGCGTGACCTGTTTATTTCTTCTCAGCTGAATTTCTCAGTCATTGTTCATACTAATCTTCATTATGAATCTTGACAGGAAGGGTCCATTACACATTTACATGATCAGAAAACTACCCATTACCAGGATTCAGAATCCCTGTAATGGAGGCAACAGCTCCCGACTACTAGTCACTCTCCCTCCTAGCTCCAACAGAAGAAATTCTGAAAATATTTTGCATTTTTAAGAAATACTTCATAAATACAGACTTCTCTTTATTTACAAATCAAATCCCACTAAATTATGAACTCTCACTGAATATAAAAACCAGAAATTGCTAAAAAATAGCAAAGGGCTTAATTTCAACAACTCCAATAAAAAAATATGAAGCATGCATAAAATATCTGTACATGTGTAATATAGGGACATACATATTATGCATGCCACTTCATTTACTGTCATTTTGTTTGGCATTCCCATCAGAAATTACATATTAGTAAATCTAAAGTTGAATGTTAGCCTAGGTAGATATAAGCCTGCCTCCACTTATATGCTTTACCTTTAACCAATTCAATCTTCTCATGCTGATTTCAGGTTTAAATTCTTTCTTCGGTTTCAACCCAAATGGCAAGGTTAACGGAGGAGGAGTGTTTCGCCCACCAAGAAGTCCCAGGGGAGGTGGTGGTGGAACTGGACCACCAAATGGCATCGCCATTCCTGGAAGTGGAGGAGGTGGCGGAGGTGGTGGAGGTGGCGCCCCACTGTGGGGAAGCAGAGGGGCAGGAGGAAGGGCTGGGGGATCGGTGTCATCTTCTGTTGAAGTTTGCAAAGGAATTTTTATACCAGGTGGCAAGGCACCAAACTAAAGAAGAAAAAAAAAGCATTAAGAAACACAAGTACACAAAATAGGCAAACCCAAGTGTACAAAACATATAAAAGTACATTTTGCTCAAAAATAGGGTGCTACTTTAAATGAAAATACCAATAATTTCCTGTATTTTCATAAAATTCTAAAACAATATTTCTTCCAATTTGAACACATAACCATAGCTTTTGTTCTCAAGAATATGTATTGTCAGCAAAATAATTGAAGCAGTTATGGTAGAAATGCACAGGATCTAGGAGATTCAAAACTCAGCTATCTCCAAGCGACAATGGAAGTCATGTGAGGAGGTAAATTCACTCAGTGTGCAAAGAGCATGCGGAATGAGAAAGACCTGTGTAAACAAGTCTATGTATGACATGCATTTCAGTGTTAGATTAAAAATAAATGAGTAAGAAGATTCAGAGAAAAAGTCATACACGCTATTTCCACCTCATGCCTTTGCTTGATTCTTCTCAATGGTGTACAAATATACTTTAGGAAAAGGAGGTCAAAAAAACACTAATGTTCCTAGTAGGGCCTTCAAGAGCATGTGATGATCTGGTCCCACAATACTTTCAAGCAACTTTCAGTTAATTTTATGTGTATGCCAGTCTCATAGTGATTTTAGGGCACAAATATAAGTTGTGTCTTTTGCTTAGAACATTCCCTTTACCTAGCTATCTCCTGCTTGGTTTTGCAATCTGAGTTAACAGGTCCCTTCCTGAGGAAAGCTTAATTTGCCCATTCATTCTATGCTCACAGTACACTATGCTTCTCCTCAGAGAATCATTAACAATGATCTCCTTGATAGAATATAAGCTTTATGAAGGAAGCAACTGTAACAGCATATGATACTGAACAAAATTTAATGGATAAATGAATTAAAACTGGAAGAGAAAAAGGCAAGCACTGAGGCACAACTCATGAGCTAAAAGAGTGGTTCATTTCTAAAAGGTCAAGTCTCATTGAGAAATAAGATGAAAAATCAGGCCTGAAAAACAATTAGCTGAATCCACTACTCATTTTTATTTTTACTTTCCGACAGAATTCTAAGGATGGACTATAAGTATGCAAAAGACCTTCTGGGTTAGGTTTTAGAATATAATAATAATTTGAAATTACTAATTTAAATTACAAGCTATAAATATATATCTACATATATACATAATACATACACACAGGTTGCAATGTTATGAACCAAGTCATCAGGTAGATTTCAATGGTAACGTTTTTCACATCTACTATTATCTTTTTAGGAAATTTTTATGCTTCTTCCTCAAATATAACTCATTTTTTTAATTTTTGTTGATTTTTTTGTATTTCATACAGAACATCCCAAACAATCTTTCTCATCTATATACCCACATCCCAAATGGCACCCTCCCATAGTCCCCCCCCCCCCGTTGGAGCCCCCCCCCCCT